CACTCCCCCCCCAGGAGGGATGGCCACACCTCAGTCCCTTCTCCTTCATTCTCCTCTCAGGATCTTGGGCATGCACACACGCATGCCTGGTGTGAGTTTAAGCCACCAGGTCCGGGACTCAAACCACAGTTGATACATGGGAGTCCAGTGACATAGCCATTAAGCCAACTGCTGGTCCCGCCTTTTTTTTTTTTTTTAAAGAAATTTTTATGTACAAAAGTCAGTACATGGTTTATACATTCTAAATAGCAAAGGACACATTTTTTGTGTATTGCGTCCTCAAAAAGAATATCCCTTCTACAGTATCTTCCATCATATCACTCTTCATAAAAAATATGAAAGAAAAAAATGGGATATACTCATTTTGAAAGAGAACCACATATAATCCACTCCTGATTACTTTCACTGGTGTTTGATTCTTTTAAATATAGTAGTTGATTAAATATGCATTAAGCCACAAGACACTTTATGGAATCCAGTCGAAGCAAATATGTGAGTGTAAATACAGGTGAAATTTCAGAATTCATTGGTAGGACCGAAAACTTTCTATGTAGTGTAAATTATTTGTTTCTCATTCTTGAACTAAAGATTTTAAAAAGTGTCCTTACACTTAAATAATTCAGACATAGTGATGTTTCTTAAACACTATATGATTAACAGACAAGTATTCTCATATTCTTTGGAGACAAGTATTGCCAGTTCTCTCCCACATAATCTCAAAATGATACTTTATATTTTTACTGAAATTTACAAAGCTTATAAGAACATTTTGTTACGTTCATAAGAAAACTAGTCTAACAATTTAATAACTGATAATAATCTGAAGTAATCCAAACTGTTGAACCAGAACATGTTTGTTGTAATCTGCTAAAAGTACTGAGAATATAAGTTTGTTTGTTTTTTCAATCTCTAACCTTTTTTTAAAATAAATTGCGTTACTTTCATGGCATGAATCCAAAGGGATCTCCCTGGCTTCAAGGCAGACACCATGACCCAAGGATTCTTTTCACTGCAGCCATCCTTTCATTTTGCCTCAGTTTTTGTAGCAAACTTCCTTTTTCACTCTTAATATGGGAGCTAAATGTTTCCTCATACTGTCCCAAAACAGTAGTTTTATGTAGAAGGTAAAAGAAAGAGAGAAGATCTTAATCATTTTTCAATAAATGTGTACTGAACACCATTAATAACCAGGACTCTATAGAGAATACAAGATCAACTCAAACAAAAATCTGTACTTGGAGCATATGTTTCAGTGTGTATAATAACTAAAGTTTATGATAGAATCTGATCCTGGGAATATTTATACTGTGCTCCTAAGTCTATAGCTTGCTTGCTTTCCGTGTGACCTAAGCCATGCTCATTTGCTTTGTTTTTCTGATGTTTTTGTTTATTCTTTATTTTTTCAAAGGGTAGCAATTTCCATGATCCTAAAGCAGATTCACTAGATCGTAAATACAGTTAGGATGTCAGTCCAGCCGTGACACAGATTACTGTTACACAGGGTTGGCATTCATTCAGTATCCTGACCCTAAATATAAGGATGCCCCTGTAATGGAGTAATGCCCTACTTCTTTTGGAATCTGGAGGAGTATCTTATTTCCCCTTTGCCAGAGAGATCCTTTGTCTCCATGGAAGGAAAGGCAGGGGGGCAGAGTGGAGAGGCTGGGAATCAGGAACTGGCCAGAGCATTGAGTTTCAGCCAGGTGCATCAGATTTACATTGTAATGCCTAATTTTCTGAACTGGAGCAGAAAACTGTCTCTTAGAGTTCAGTGTACCCATGGTGTTGATTTCCTCCCTTATGGAAAACAAGTTTCAAATTTGGGCTGTAGGGGCTGGAGATCAGTTTGAGAAGACCATTTAGGATGCCCCCTAGAGCTCTGGCTTTGACCTATTCCGTTTTAGAAAATTAAACAGTACTACAGTACAACTTAAGATTTGTTTTTAATTTTTTAAGAGCTTCAGTTTTGCAAGAGGTCTTAGAGTTATATAAACAAAATGGGTTCTTAAGAATTTTGAAGAAACAAATATCTAAACATTAAAAATTATCTCTGCCAATTTATTCAAGTTTTATCTGTACAAGCAAAATTATAAATGCCACATTTCTGTTTGATTTTAAAAGTGTAGCTAGATGACAGCCCTGAAGAATAAATAGCTCTCCTTAAAGTGTTTTCATTGGGAGAACTCATTGCCTGTTTAAGGGTTCTGGTCTTTTGGAATCTTGTTCCTGTAAGCATTTGTTTCTATTACTATATATTATTTATTTTACTTTTACTTTCTTTTCAACCCATATTGGACATAATTTGAGATTGTAAAGTTGAAGGAGGAAAGTTAAAAAGCAGAAAGCCTGAAATGATTTTAAGTTTTGTATAAGTATGAAGGAATCTTCAAAAAGCTCATGGAAAATGTGCATTGTGATAAAACTGTATAGATTTCAATTTTTTTTGTACCACATAAGTTTGAATTAACTTGTTATAACATCTATAACGTCTCTGAGCCGGGTCTTGTTTGAAGCACTAGTTCATAAAACTGGATGGAGTTATAAAAATACCTCATGAAGCAATTTTAAGGAAGAAAAGAAATAACTTCCATACTGTCTGAATACAATAGGCATTTAATAGATACTTACTCTTACTATTAATATTAGGAGACATCAGTTTGAAAAGCTCCCCTATCAGAACAAGGTGAATTGTGCTAAAATTTAAACAAAAACAAACATGAGATTTATGATGAAGCTAGAGTGGAAGAGTGGTAAAATCATTGATGGTTTAAAAAGTTTATGGGGACAATGCCTCAGAGAAATCAGAGGTTTAGAAATAATTTATCTTAAGAAGAAGCTAGACAGTGTTGAAGATTGCACCTGCAACAGCAGACCATCCCCATCAATTTTGCAAAGAAAAAGTTAATCTTGTTGGTGCCCTGATTGAAGCACCAAAAAATGAATAATAGCAACAATAGCCAACACCATAGACATTCTTAGTTTTCTCCTTACACAATTCTAACTTACAAATAAAAGTTTAGGGGTCAGCAGGTGGCATGGTGGTTAAGGCAGTAGATTCCCACATGGCTGACCACAGTTCATCTTTCTACCCATTGTGCTTGCCCAAAATCCCGAGAGGAGAATGGAGAAGGGATTGTGGCGTGGACATCTCCCCTAGGGGTGATTTCTTACTTTCCCGCTCTCTGTTTCTCTCTGGCGAATGCATGTGTCCTATGGCGAAGACCTAAAAAGGAAAAAAAAAAAAAATCTTTCTGCTTAGTGGGTGCCAAAATGGTTGCACCCAGATCAGCTGTAGACAAAAGCAGAACTTTCAAAGGAAGTTCTAAACAAGTGGGAATAAGATCCTGAAGCATTTTTTCAAAGAATTATAACAGAAGGTGGGTCATGGCTTTACTAATATAATCTGGAAACAAACCACAATAAAAGCAGTGGCCCAGTCAGGTAAAGGTCATGGCAGCAGTGTTTTGGGCAGCTTAAGGCACTTTGCCTGTTGACTTTTCGGAGGACCCAAGGATGATAACATCTGGTTATGAGAGTGTTTTGAAAAAGTTAGCTGAAGCTTTAGTAAGAAAAATCCAAGAAAGATTCACCACTACTACAATGCTCCTTCCCATCAAGGGCGATTTGTGAGTGTTAATGGGAAATCATAAGGAATTCTATCTTATAACCCTGACTTGGTCCCTGCCTTCATTTTGTTTTTTAATTTAACAAAACTAAAGAATGCCCATCTTTCTTCAGTTAATATAAAAAAGATTGCATTGATATGGTTAAATTCCAAGGGACCCTCAGTTCTTTTGGAATGGACTAAATGACTGGTACCATTGTTTATAAAAGTATATTGAATTGAAGCTTAGGTTGAGAAATTTTGTACTTATAGTTCGTTCCATTTTCCATGAACGTTTTGAAGTTCTCTTGTATATTTCATTTTAAATGATGGATGTGGTACTTGCGAGATTAAATGTATGACCTCAGTCCACTCAGTCTTCCTTACTTTAGGTACCTCAGTTCATATTTTCAGTGTACTATAAATATATCTACTTTTCTGAAAAGTAAACTCACCTGTTATAATTTTGGATACACAGTTGAAGAGCTGTACCTGTTTGGATGTACTGGACCTATTTTTTTCCTCATGCCTTCTTAGTTGGCTTCTGCATTCACCAGCTGCCCATATACTAACAATTTGGAGTTAGTCTTTTGAATAAAACTTTTCTCTTTCATTCTCTACTCTTGACAGCTTTTTAAATCTAGCTAAAATATCTCCTCTATTCCTTCATGGCCACTACTTTTTCTCTCTTAACAGTAAGTGAGATCCTACAAATTTAGAGGTAGAATTTAAAAATGCACAAAGAAGAAGACAGGGTGTACTCCTTGTCTGGTTCGCTATTACTAGACCTCTGGAATGTATTAGGTACTCCTTACTTAAGACACAGATTATTAAGTTGGAGTCTTTTTTTTTTTTTTTAAGGTTGATATCAGAGGTGAGATAAGTTCTGTATTGCCTTATCCCTTGAGACATTATTTTGCTTAAAATAAAGAAGAAAACTTTCATTACTTTAAATATAGGTGGGACATTCCTAATCTGCAATCTGAAATGCTTCAAAATTCAAACTTTGAAGCACCAGCATGACACCACAGTGCAAAATTGAACACCTGCCTCAGGCAGTGGATCATGGTCAAAACACTGCAATACAAAAACATACAATTACCTTCACGTTATGTGTTTAAGGTGTATATGAATTTTCTGTTTAGACTTGGGTCCTGTCCTTAGATATCTCATTTTATATATATATATGTATGGTTATATTTCCAAAATTTGGAAATTTCAAAATCTGAAACACTTCTGGTCCCAAGCATTTCAGATAAGGGATATTCAACCTATATTTACTAAACTGGAAGAAATGGAGAGTATTTGGGAATATGAATCAAATATTTGTCTATACTATTTCCTTATTTTAGTTTGTATATATTTTAATTATTCTCTCTCTCTCAACCCATTAAAGATTCCAGTGCTGAATATTCAAATGAAAATTTTTCCTGCGCTTTGTACTGTAGCAGGGACCATATTTTCCTGTACAAATTACTTCCGTGTAATCTTCACAGGCGGTGTTGGCAAAAATGGATCAACAATAGCAGTAAGTATATCTTAAGATTTCTGATGGTATACGCGAGGACTTGGTTATCTGGTCATTCTGTTTTTCACTTGAAATGTATAAAATCCATTTAATTTTTAGTTTCTGCTTAGATTTTAAAAAAAGTAACGCCTAGGGACAGGCAGGTGGAATGGTGGTTAAGGCACCAGACCCCCACATGACCAACTGCAGTTCGAGTCCCAGACCCAGCAGCTTGAAAATCATATTGGTCATGTCAAAATAATATTTAAAACCTCTCAGTTTTATGTACATATCCATACATATTTATGTTTATGTATGTGTATTTTTGTGCATCGACATACACAAACACATAACTTACAGTCTTTTTCATTTTATTCATGATAGCTCATGCATATACATATGAAAGAGAAAGAAAGGGAAGAAGGGAGAAAAGAAAGAAGGAGGGAAGACAGCCAGATAAACAAGTCAGGCAAGCATCCTTGACAGGACCTTATTCTGCCATAATACTCTTCATCTAGTCCTTCAGCTAATTAGGATCTTGGACACACACACATGCATGCACCTGTGTCCTAGGTCCACCAGGGATCTGAACTCTTGTAGTTGGCTGTGTGGCTTCTAGCACTCATTTTAGCACACTGACACTTACACCACGGAGACTGGGCCCACGTCTGTTTTTTAAAAATATGACCTGCTTTGTGAAAAGAAGCCTGGCCTCTTAAGTAAAATCCTCAGTACCTGACCAGTTCATGCTTCTGCTTTTCATTAGCTGTTTTGGTGTACGGTTGGTTGAAATTGCCAGTTGTTGAATACTATGAGAGTCTCAAAAGTTGGAAGTGAACTGATTCACAACAGAACCACGTGTACCTGACGAGTGTTGAATACTGCTAACTCTTCTCTTCATTCTGTACAGGGAACAAGTGTCCTCTCTCCTTTTCTCCATATTGGATCAGTTATTACATTAGCTGCAATGATCTACAAGAAATCAGCAGTTCAGCTTTTTGAAAAGCATCCCTGTCTTTATATACTGACATTTGGTTTTGTGTCTGCTAAAATCACTAATAAGCTTGTGGTAAGCACCTAAATTTTTGTTTTTAACTTTCATCTTACTTTGGTTATTTATGGCCATAGTTTTCATTTTGTAGCTTCCTACGCAGCCCTAGAGTTTGATGTAAAGTCTCTTTATATCAACATGGAAGCTATTTTTACTCTTTTCCTGAAACTATAGTTTGAGATTACCAGAATTCTTTGACCCTCGACCACTTTTCACCCTTCTATCCAGTGTTCAGTTTGGTCATTCACTTTGTCAACATTCTTCCTTCTCAATCTGGACACAAAATTGAGGCTCCTTTTGCAGATCTTCTTTTGTAGACTTAGTTGACATGACCCACTACATCCCTTTCTTCTCACACACAATCTTACTGAGCTTTGGTTGTAGAGCTTCAACAACTGTTGCTAAATAATACTTAGAACATGATGTCTCAGCACAATATGGATTTACTACGTAGCTTAGTATTGCTCTAATATAAAAACTACCTCATTGATTCTGTTTTATTTATAGGTTGCACACATGACAAAAAGTGAAATGCATTTGCATGACACAGCATTCATAGGTCCAGCACTTTTGTTTCTTGACCAGTATTTTAACAGCTTTATTGATGAATATATTGTACTTTGGATTGCCCTGGTAAGTATTATACTATGGTTTGTTTTTTAGTATTTATTTCTTAAGTGAGAGAGAAACAGACAGGTACCCCAACAGTGTCTTCACACTGTGATCCACCCCCAGCCTCAGCCAGCTGGGATCACAGGAATGTGTACCCCTGTGTCCTATACCAGGCAGCCTTGGGATGTGAAGCTGGTACCTTCCCAGGTGGGTCTAATTGTGTTGCCACTGCACCACCATCGGGCTCCTGTACTATGTCTTATTTCATTTTTTGGAAGCTACTTGTTTTCTTATTTTGGTGTCCCAGTCCTGAGACATAGCTTATATAATTATAATGGTTTGGAATGTCAGAAATCTATATACATGTGACTTTGTGAGAGTTCCTTTCTCTGTGGTTTGTACTAGGTGTTTTTTTTTTTTTCGTTGTTGTTTGTTTTGTATAATTATTAGTCCTGCCTGCATTGGGGCTCATAAATTCCAAATTTCTAATGTTAAAAGAGTTGGCAGACTACATCCTATGGGCCACAAAAGTTTTATTGGAACATAGCTGTAGCCATTCATTTATGTTTTGTCTGTTCCTGCTTCGAGCTATAATGGCAGTTGTGACAAAGACAATATGGCCCATAAAGTTTAAAGTATTTACTACCTGTTCCCCTAGGAGTGTTAATCCTTACTTTAAAGCAAAGGCTATGAAGAAATTGAGTTATTAAACTATATAGTTAAAGGTTAAGATGGAGAGAAAAGTAAAGGGGCAACTCTTCTTTATTTCCTGGAAGCTTAGGGAGGTCTTAAGTAGGTCCTGAGAATCTAATGGTCTCTTTTCTTTCCAGGTTTTCTCTTTCTTTGATTTGATCCGCTACTGTGTCAGTGTTTGCAATCAGATTGCGTCTCACCTGCACATACATGTCTTTAGAATCAAGGTGTCTACAGCTCATTCTAATCATCATTAATGATGTAATTGCTGTTATATAGGAACTCATGTTTTCTGCAGGAAAGAATCTGAACATATAAAGGAGAATGGGGGTGGATAAGAAGAAATATAATTTATAATAATCAATGTTGTATAACTTTTGTTTTTGGTAACACTCCCTAACTATCCTGTGTGAAAATGGGAATTTCAAGTCCCATCTTGTAAATTGTACATTTTGTCATACAGGGTTTGGCCCAAGAAAGCATGCAGGGGAGGAAAAAACAAAACAAAAACAGCCATGTGTTTGTAATTAGCCTGGATTCAGAATAATATTGTCATGGAGAACAGATGCCCAGTGGTGGAAATTTCTAATGTAGAATATTTGCAGGGCAAAAGATGGTTGCTTTATAATTTTAACAGATTACCTTCAGTAACATCTTTGTTTAGTGTCTTCTCAAGCTTTCTTTACTAAGGAGCTCTGCGTATGGCACAGATAATATCACACTAGCTCGTGAGGTGGAACTAGCGGTAACAACCTTCCATTTGGATTGAAAGGTTTTCTATCTTTACATTGTTGAAGAAGTAATTTTTTTTTTAATTGCTCAAGAAATGGTATCTCATGGGCTTTGGAAATACTGTTAGCATGCAGAATAATGTGGTAACTTTGTCAATCCATTTTATTTTTCTAAATAAAATATATGATCTGAAAGCCAGATTTTTTTCTTGATTTTATTCAATGGAGAGATAAACTTGGTTTTAATGTCATTTTTAAAAACTTAAGCAATTTATTTCTGTTCTTTAATAAATAAATTCAGTCAGGCTTATTGTTGTGATGTGTCTGTCCTATGACCTTTATATTGTATAAAATGTTTAAGAAAGGAGGACCGTGTTCATTTGCCCTCTCAGTGGGTTCTTTGTGTTACTATCATCACCCTTGTGATAATCAGACATTTTGGAATCTTAAACCTGCTAAATTTTCTGTAATAGCCTGGTGCTCTCATTTTCTGGCACCTTCCTTTCTGGTAAAGTATCTGTACTACAGTTTGAGGTGTCCTCTATGAACCAGGTGTCCTCTGTGAACCAGGTCTGTTCCCATTATGCATAGCCCGTTCACTTGCTTCACAGCAACTGGAAGATAGCAGGAAAGGTTTGGCTCTCTATTCACTAAAACGAGCTTGTTTTACTATTGATTTTTATTTCTGCCATTTAGTCAAGAATAAACAATTGCCAGTGCCAGCAGATGGTGTAGTGGTTACGTTGCTGGACTCCCACATGGCTGACTACAGTTCAAGTCTCCGGTCTAGTGGCTTGAAAATCACACCAGAGGCATGTGCGTGCATGCGTGTATGCATGCCTAAGATCCCAGAAGGATAATGGAGAAGGGATGTGGCCATCACCCCGGGTAGTGATTTCTCACTTTCCCTCTCACTGTCTCTTTCGTTTTTTTCCTCTGGCTAGCGCATGTGCCCTATGGCAAAAACCTCTTAAATAAACAGTTGTTATACTGCCTTGCCAGCAGCCAGACCCTGTTGTTTGAATTTTTAATGGTTCCATCAGTCCCATGTAGATCTGAATTAGCAGTGAGAATTTAACCTTCCACTTCTTTTCTAAGACTATAGCAAGAAATAGAAATCTTTCTAACAACTTCTTCAGCATCTGGGATAGAGAAATGCAAGTAAGAAAATGCTAGGGTGAGTAAAGTTTCAAAAGCTAGGACAAAGCAGGACAGAGAAAGATAATTCTACTTGTTTGGCACAGTGACATCTATTGTCTTATGTGCTTGTCACAGCATACAGACACGGCAGGTATTAGTTACCCACAGTGGAAATCGAGGCCTGGAGAGGCTAATGGCCTATCAGTGTCACACAGTTGCTCCTTTTCAGATCAGAGACTAGACTCCAGATCTTCTGAATCCTGCTTCAGTGTTCTGTACTGCACCCTGCTGGGTTTTAGTGAGCTATAGCTAGAAAGTGAGGTATCAAGGGAAAATTGAAATGAAATCGTCTTCAGTATAAAAGGAATCCAGTATAGAAGCAATCATATTTGTTGTGAGTTATTTGGTGTTATCCCCAGATTCATCTGAGCAGGGGGAATGTACGTAGTAAACCTCAACGAGACCTCATGCTTGTGCTAACATATGCCTGGTTGGGTATCAAAATTACCTGAAGAAGCTTTTCAAAAATACAGATTTCCAGGTCCTAGCTCTAGAGATGATTTGGTAGATTTGGGATGAGACCTCAGAAGATTTTCACAGGACTCCCAGAATTCTAGTTTCTGTTCTGAAACCTTCTGAGGTACAACTGCAGTTAAGAACCACAACTATAAACTGCCTGAACAGATGTAATGATTCCTAGAAGCTGTAAAGAGTAGCAGTTAAGGCTGCTATGTGGATAATGAGACACCTGCCACCTGCCAGAGGTCTTTCTGTTCCCCAAATCAATTTACACTGGCTTTAGTTTCAGTTTAATAGCCCTTGCCCCCCTATTCTCTGTTCCCTAAATCAATTTACATTGGCTTTAGTTTTGGTTTAATAGCCCTTGCCCCCCCTATTCTACTCTCCAAAAATATTTGTGTTATTTGTATAGAATTCAAGGACCCTGGAACCAGTAATTGGTGTAATGGCTATGTTGCTGGACTCCCATGTAGTTGACCACGGTTCAAGTCCTGGACCTGGTGGCTTAAACTCACACTGGGCATGTGTGCATACATGCCCAAGATCCTGAGAGGAGAATGGAGGAGAAGGGATTATGGCGTGACTATCTCTTCTCAGGGGTGATTTCTCACTTTCTGTCTCTTTGTCTCTGTCTTTCTGGCGAGCACACATGCCCTATAGCAAAAGCCTCTCAAAAAAAAAAAAAACAAAAAAAAAACAAACAATTCAAGGACCCCTCAGGGTCATGCTCTCATTTATAAAGAAAATGAAATTTTTGAAAGACAAGATGCTTCTAAAAGTTTCTTGTCTTTTGCAATGTTTACACAAAAACTATCAGAAGCACAGGGAGGAGGGACTGGGTGACCACTAAACTTTGGACTCAAGATTTTCATTCTCTTTTCTCAAAGAGAAGGGCAATGTAAGGGTCACTTCATCTTTAAAGAATTAACTTGCTTTTCAAAATAAGGACCAATTGGAAGAGTATCTAAGACCACAGGTAAAGCTCTTATCCCAACTGGAAGTGATGGACAAACAAATCTATTTATGGAAGCCATGTAGGTTTTTCACTGACTTCTGTTGCCTGGAAATCCTACCCTCCAGTTACCCTCGACTATACTGTTTTCCTCTGTCTAGCAGCCTCTCCCCCTACCTGCTCTAGGCAGGTGTGATTTCCCCAGGATTCTGTTGTCCTGCATCCAAAGCTGTTACTGGTCTTACCAGAATCTGACCTTTCCTATTAGAGGTGAGCAGTGACCCACTGTTCCAAACACAGTCCACTTTATTCTCATTTTTCCTGATTCTCCCCCCATAGTGGAAGACAAAGACACACATATAAACAATAAGATTTTCATCTTTATTCTCATCTTCACGTTTGTGTGGCAGGGCCAAGTCTTTGGGCCACAACTGCTTTCACTGTTGAGGACTTTGTAATAGTGGTTCCCAGAAGTAAGCAATTGCAGCAACTTCTAATCAAGCATCTACAACATCCGTACTACTGTTTCCCACTCTGAGTCACCTCTGCAAGAAACGCAGTTTTTGAGGTCAGTTCTGTGAACATGGCGTCGGAGCCCTCCAAAGTCCTGAGAAAGCTGATACCAGGAGTCCCAGACACCAGTGTGAGGCCTGGAGTCTGCTTCACTGATCTTGCCACACTGGCAGGGGCCAACTCCAGAACTGGCCTATAGGTCTAGTCATTCCTGTTCACCATAGCTCCTATTTCACAGTTTTTTCCCTTGGTTTCTTCTGTTTCTTCTGTTCCTCATATTCAAGTATTTTCTGCTGGAAATAGCCTGAGGGTTCAGATACAGGTGTTAGAAGCATGTAACCTGGTTAGGCTCTATGATGTGCTCAAGAATAAGGGTCAGCAATATCCTCACTGCTCCCCACACTCCTCCCCCAGCAGTCCCCCCAACACACCCACACATAGTCCCATTCCTGCCAGGGTTCTCCTGTCCTCAAAGGCCTTTGGATATCGGAGTAAACAAAAGGAGGAGGAGCCTAGTCTTGATAGCTGATGAATAGAGTAAGGTGTACCGAATGTCAGCCTAGGAGGCATTTTCTTAGGCTTCAGGCTACTTTCTAACCCCACTAGTAAAAGTACAGCTGTTTTGTGGACCTCTAGAGAGAAATACTTTTTCCTCCCCTCTTCTTCATCCTAGAGGCAACCCTCTGGACTTAAGTTGACAGGGGCTGTCTTTTACCTGCAGGAGGAGTTTTGCTCTTTTCGGCTTCCTGGATGAAAAGGGAGAAGAGCTGAGTCTTCACAAACTTCTTCACAAAGCGGCGGTTGGCCTTGGAGGTCAGAGCCTTACAGAAGGGCCGTTCTTGGAAGTGGCCTTGGCCGTTTGCTTCCCGTTTGATATAGGAAGCATAATGGCCCACAGTCTTGACAAAGAATTGCACGAAAGGGCTTGAAACATGCTCGTTGATTTGTTCCAAAGCTGCAGAGGACATATAAAGGCCATCTCAGAGGGTAACAAAAGGATTCTAGTTATCCAAACTCACTTTCAAGGATTGTTCACATTGCAAGCCAAAAGCTCCTGGGGACAGCAGTGGGGTAGGATTCATAATTACTGACTGACTGACATGGGAGACTGGGTATGGGTTCCCTGCCGTTGCTTAGGGGAAATCTCATATTCATACTTGCCCTAGAATCTAAGCCTCAGGCTGGCCTGGGACTGCCAATGAGCATTTTATTTCTGGAAGTGAATGGTTGGGAATCATACCCTTGAGCTCCCTGGAAAAAAACAAAATCAGAGGGGCCTGGGACATACTTTCTAACTTATCGATCCCCTGATCAGAGGGGCATGGGACATACTTTCTAACTTATCGATCCCCTGATCAAGAGATCGTAAGATGTCATCCTGAAGCTTCGGCGGCAGGATGTCTTTTTCATCACCAACCTAGGAAAGGACAGAGTCGGCTCAGAGGTCAAGCATTCCAGGAGGAAGTTGGCAGGAAGGGGTTTGGCAGGAGGCCATGAGGGGGGCATGAATTCCACATCCCCCAACCCACACACCCCCAGTCAGACAAAGGAGACAAAAGTTGTTTCTTCACTTTCAGTTTGACTCTAAACATCAAGGGATCCTCTTAATCCCTGTGATACTTAGTTTCTATCCCTTGTTCAAAACTGCTGTGTGGTGAAGTCACCTGTGTCTTTGTGGGCTTCTGAAGAGAAAAGATTTTATAGCACAAGTTTTCATGTAACACAATCACTTGTGTTTGGTGAAATAAGTGGAATGTGGATAAGACTAGAGTAGTTGAGTCAGTGGGGGGCCAGCAGAAGATCTGACCCTGGATACTTACAGACATCAGGAAGGTTCCTTCACAAAGATTCACCAACAGGACCTGAAATAAACATAGAATGGCTTTATGTTCCTCTTCCATCATAGGCTCAGGAGGACATACTCTCCCTTATCCCGTTGCTGTCCCCAGGAGCTTTTGGCTTGCAATGTGAATAATCCTTGAAAGTGAGTTTGGATAATTTGATCCTTTTGTAGCTATACCTTTTTACCCAGGGAGCAACAAAATCAGCATCTTCAATCCTCCCTCCTGTCTGGCATTCTCCTCCCTCAACAACACCCTCTGAAAATTTCAGTTCTCTTCATGGAGAAAGGTGTGTGTGTGGGAAGTGGGTAGGGGAAAGAGGCTGGGGAGTAGGGGACTACAATATGGGGAAACCATAGCCAGTCACTCCCTCAGTAAAACACTACTCACAGTCATTGCTTCTCTATATGCAGCATTTAGTACCTAGCACACACAGGTGCTTTGTGCATTTTATCTCAGTTGCAACAGATCTCTGAGGCAGGTGCACCCTATTTTGCAAGCAAGGTAATAGACCCAAAGATTGTGCTGCTAATTTATAGTAGAATACAGCCCTAGATTGCACTGTCCTCAGGCTTGCATTCCTCTCTCTGCAGCTCTCCTTCAACTCCCTGCCCTCTGGTCAGCTCTAAAACAGGGACGCGCATCTTTGATCTTTTAATGCTTGCAAACATTTATGTGGGATTGCCTGGAGTTCTACTGAAAACTCCCTCAGAGCTTTGGGCCTTCCAGCAGGAAGGTCACCAAGGGAAGGAAGGAAGCCCAGGGTCAGCAAGGAGAAGGAAAGGAAGTGAGAAGGCTGTGTGTCCACAAGCTGCAGGTGAGACAGGCTGGAACCTGGAGGACCTGAGTTCTCGTGGCAGTCTGAGCTCCATCACTGCCTGAGGGGACTTCAGGGTAGATCAGACATGTCAAATAGGCTGATTTCAACAGGCAGATCAGTTTCCTTGTTCCAGCATTTTTAAACAACTAGACTAGTTTCCAATATTTAAACTGGAATATTTCACATAAAATCTGCATTTCTGACTTCTGAAAAGTTAGGAGCCCTGACACTGGCCCTCATTGCTAAAGGGCAATGTTCAGATGGAACTGAGTCGTACCTGCCCCTTTAGATAGGACCGGTGCTCACCAGTTTGCCATAGTCCCTCAAATCCTGTGCAGGTCATTTGGTTTATTTCTTTGTTTAGAAGATTTTTCTTTGTTTTAAGCCAAAAGGTGAGTGTACATACATGCAAGCAAGTGAAAGAACACCCCACCAACAGGGCCTGGTCACACTACAATCCCTTTTCCTTCAATTCTCCAACCTGTTCAGCCTGGGCACTTGTGAACATGCCTGGAGTGTTTTTCTAGCCACCGGGTCCAGGGCTCAAACCCTGGTTGCCCATGTGGGATCCAGGTTCCTCAGCACAGCACTTAGCTGCTATGCTATGGGGCAGACCCTGCTGGTCCTTTTAAATGCCTACTAGGCCCCTTTACCAGTTTGTGACCCTTAATATTGAAAATGGGGTAAATGGTCTCCCTCTGTTCCTTTCTAGATAGAAGGAAAGTGGAACTAGAAAGTGTGCCAATAAACAGTGTGCACTGCCCTGTAATTATCCACCATCAGGGGAGAAAAGTTAAACTAGTCCAGGCTTGAAACCACTTGTGTACATGGGCTCAGATGCCTTCACACAAGGATGGCTGTGGATCTGGTGGATTGGAAGGAAA